GGCATCCGAAGAAGTGGGCATCCGAAGAAGTGGGCTGTAGTCCACGAAAGCTTATGCTCTAATAAATTTGTTAGTCTCTAAGGTGCCACAAGTACTCCTGTTCTTTTTGCGGATACAGACTAACACGGCTGCTACTCTGAAAATAGAAATAATTACCATCCAAAAGCGAAGAGAACATTAAGGTTGCAGAGTCAAGCACTTGAAAGTCTGTAAATGGCAGAATTAAGGAAAAGATTGTACACGATCATGTAATTAAAGATGGTACCATAATGTATATGCACAAGGGGACTGACTCAACATGGCACAGACCACCTTCATCTGGCCCCCTTGCGTGTATACATTATGGTACGGTCTGATTACATGATCACATACTATTTTTTCCTTAATTCTGGCATTTCCTAATTCGCGAGGGCTTGACTTTGCAACTTCAGTGTTTTTAAACAATCTTGTAACTTCCTAATTAAAAACCAAAATTGCTTCCCCTCCCCCCAGTTTATCGCGTGGAACCATATTGACCCCCCAACTCGAGTCACCAGCAAGGTTCAGACCATTAGATCCGCAGCATACTCTTTTACCATTTGAGCGAACAGAGTAACTGGTAGCAGTAGAAGGTGGTTAACTTCTATGTGGGTCAGGAAGGGGAATGAGAGACACTTTGCCAGTCAGTTTCACAGCCATTTATCTCTCACCCCCATAGGTCCTCTGCCTCTGCTCCTATTCCAACCCGTTCTCCTCACTCTCTGGCTTCTGCAACCCGCTGCTTCTATTCTCCCTCTGCCCCCCTCAGCATTTGAGTCAGGATGTTTCCTCCTCCTCTTCCACGCTGCCTGAGCGCCAGCAGCAGGAGCACAGGCACGCTGCTTTCCGTTCTGGTGCCCAGTGCCACAGCAGCAGAGCAAGTCCTGCAGGCCTGGACTAGAGCATGCTCAGTTGCTCTGTGGTGAGGGCAGACGCTGCGTTTCATTGAGCATGCTCAGTGCAGACACCATGAACTGCCAAACTGAAATCTCTGCAGAGCACATGAAAACCAAGATTTTTCCAGAGGCTCATAACTTCAGAGGCCAAATTTGCTCTTCTTTGTTTTCCCTCTCGAGAGAACAATATCTTCTTGAGGCATCGACGGCACCGGCAGAGACAAAATGTCTTTGGCCGCCTGGAAGGCCTCAAGTGCCGGAGACCTGTACTACTGCCCGGGGTGGCAGGCTGGTCCCGGAGGGTGCTCGATAGTCTAAACAGTGATGTTGGCGCCTGGCTGAGCTCCAGAGATGACAAGCTGCCCCGTGCAGGTCTTTGCTCTTCTCCGGGCTTCCCTTTCCCTTAAAGGACATCGGGGAGCACTGTCTGCTTCTTAGCAGGCCCTGGGGATGGAGATCGGTGCCGGGTAGACGTCGGTGCCGATGGTGCTCTTCACATGGATTCTGGTGCTTGGCACCGAGACTGAATGGGCTGGCTTCATGAGGAACACTCTTAACCTTATGTCCCGCTCCTTCTTGGTTTGCGGCTTGAAGCTTTTACAGATGCGACACTTGTCGCAGACGTGGGTTTCCCCCAGACACTTTAAGCAACTCTGGTGGGGATTGCTGCTGGGCATAGGTTTCTTGCAGCGCTCACAATGTATGAAGCCCAGGGACCCGGGCTTGCCCCATCCCTGGGCTAAGTCCCTTAAGAGACTAACTAACCTATCTCTATAACTAAGAAAACTACAAGAACTACTTCTGACAACTATGTAACACTTAAACAGAGTAGAGAGAACCACTGGTATTTGCTTGCCAAGGCAAGAGAACATTCCAGCACCGTTACTGGAATTAAGAAGGAACTGAAGGGAGGAGGAGCCGGCCGCACCCCTTATACCAGCGCATGTGCATGCGACTCCAGAGAGCGCCAGAGCATGTCCCCTACGGATACTACTGAGGGAAAAGCTTCCGGCACTGGTGCATGTGGCAAGCACACGCCTAACATGGAATGGACATGAGCAAGCACTCAAAAAAACATTTTCTCTTATCTCGTTTTCAGAAATGGCTGAACCATCTTAGCTGAAACTTTCCAAAACAATTCAGCCTATAGCAGTCCTCCAGCACAGAAAGCTTCATCCCAAACAGTTAAAGGTTGGCAAAGTTATAAGCAACTGAAAACGAGGTCTTATAACAACATTAGCCAACCTGAACTTTAGGAATAGCAGGCACTCCTCCTGTAATAAATGGCAGATCTATTACACTAATAATGAACATCACTTTGATTCCAAGGGGAAATACTGCCCTGTTTCAAAGGGTCTCGTGCTCAGGAGCATACACATATATATTCGTTCTGTTAACAGCTTGGAAGTCCCCTTCTGTGCAATCAGAGGCAACAGTTCTCAGTATTGCCTTTCGTGCCACAGGACACCCGGGAGACACAGTAGTGGAAATATCCATAGGGAAACTAAGACTGGACCAGAAAACTCCAGGAAACCACATGCCCCTTATGGCATACATTTTTCAATGGAACGTGAACCTGGTTTCCCCGCGAATGGATCACTTTCAAGTAGCACAAGGAGCCTACGATTGCTGTTGCATGCCAGGTTGAAGTCTGCTATTAAGGAAATCCGTGCAGGACACTCGGATTCTATGCAAACTCCTCTGTTGCAGTGGCATTGGAACTTTGGAAATGCTCTGCTGTGTTGGAGGGAAAAGGCAGCAATGAATAACAGAGCAGAGAAGGACTGGGAGAAAGTCCTCCCACTCCCACAAACCAGGGTGTGTCTACACGGGACATTAGAATGCAGCAAGCCAGCGTGTGACCCTACAGTGTACTAGCCGTAACGTCCCACCTGGACACGGCTCAAGTGCACTATAAGTTTTATAGTGCGCTTTGGGGCACTCCCATTCAAAACAGCAGGATGTCAAAGTATACTACAGAACTTCCAGTGCATTGCATCCCATGGGGACACTGCTACAACTGTGTCGGCTAAAGCACTGTAGATTCACACCCAGGTTTCCCGCACACCAACATCCCATGTAGACAAGCTCACATTTTCCATGGAAAAAGCTAAAATTTGCAAGCCTGGCTACTTGAATACAACTGGTTAATTCAGAGAGACCTAATTCAGGTTTCTCTATGGATTACTGCGGTTAGCATTATTAGTGCTTAAGTATGTTTAGCTAGAGGATAGGAGAAGGAAATTGGAGTTTTTTTTCCCATTTGATTTCGTTCAAGTTAACGTGCTATTACAAATGCAATTATGATTCTGTACCTTTCTTTCCCTTAACCTTCAGCACCATGGCTGCTTTCATTTCTGGTGCTTAAAGCTCTTCTCATTGTTTCCAGGATGGGTCTGCCCCACTTTTTAAATACTTCACCCCATATTTTTGTGGAAGGGAGAGATGTTAATACTTGAAGCTATTAGACAGCCCTGGCTTACAATCTGCAAACTACACAGATCTGTGGGGTGCATTATTTTATGATAAATGTTTCTAAACTTTTGTTTTTAAAGGGATGTTATGTTTATACAAAGGCTCACCCCAGCTCTCCCTTTGAAATCAATGGGACTATTCGCTGAGACACTACCTAAAGCTATCTTAGAAAAAGGACTGTAGACATCCTGCAGTTAACCCGGGGCCTCTCCCCGGGTTAACTGCCTAGCCACTCGGTCAGCAGTCCTGCAGAAAAGGATCTAGGGGTTACAGTGGACGAGAAGCTGGATAGGAGTCAACAGTGTGCCCTTGTTG